ATGACATTTACGTAACTGGAATTGTGTTTACATGTCTATCTCCCCTATAAATAACAAAACAGATCTCTGTCACATCTCTGCTTAAAACCTGCTGTAAACTTCTTAACAATTTCAACAATAAATATTAGAATCTCAAATGGTGACAGAGTCATGGCAAGTAAAAAATGTGTAAAGCAGACTAAGGGTAATGATAGGGAGTCGCGGGGACTGTGGCAAACTGAAGAATGCCTGAGAGATCCTTGAGTAAAGGGAGAACATCTTAATCTTCATTGCCCATCACAATACCTAGAACACGGTAGGTCCGCATTCAATATATTCTCACTCTAGGTTTTCAAGGGATCAGTGGAACAATTCATATGTGGGGTATGGTATTTCCTACCCGCATTTCAGAATGGCATACACCAAGGATAGGGTAATAAAAGGCACATTTGGCAAAACAACTGAAGGCAGAGAGAGAGAGAGAGAGAGAGCAGGCAGGCTTTTAGAGTAATAGCACATCAGTAGGTGAAGAGAAACTGAAAGTCATACTTGGAAGGTGATGTGACACCATCCCCATTGTCCTTTCCAGAGATGAGCCTGATGGACCTGAATTACTGACAACCCACAGCAGAAGCTGAAGAGGTGAGGGGAGTGTGGCGCCTGTTTAGGTGAGAGAGATGGAGAGAACTGAGCCGTGGAGAGGGATGGAGGAGAGAGCCCCAGGATGTGGTCATGAGGCAGGAAGTACCTGGTTACAAGGAACTGGGGTGGTGTTTGGAAGAGAAGGTCCAGGAAGGGTGCCCCTGAGGATGTGCCTTTTGTACTTTGTTAAATAAATAATGAGAGACAGCTATGTCTCAGGCAGAGAGAAGCTCAGGAACAAAGGTCCTGGGACAGGAACCGGCTTGGCACTTTGGGGAAACAGAAACAAAGGCCAGTGGAACTGGGTGGGTTGAGGCTGGGGAGCCTGGGACAAGGTGGGCTCTGTTCTGTGCTCCAGGGCCGGATGGGAATGGAGCCTCAGTGCCATTCTGTGGAGTGTGGATTTTACTTTCAGTTAGGCAGGAGCTTGCTCATTCTGAACTCTAGCTCTCTGCTTTGGAGGTGACTCAGCTGCCTCCTTGTTTTCTCTCTGATTCTTGGCTTCTGCTCCTAGTACCACTGCTCACGCTCTTTCCTCCATGCCTGGGCCCCACCCAACACCACTGAATCATTCTTTCTGGAGGAGGAGCCCAGACTTGTGTAAGTTACTAAAACTCTGCATGTGATCCTGAGGTACATTCAATATAGGGAACCAGAGGATCTCTCTTTCTGTCTCTTTCTTTCCCTCTGTCTCTCTCTGACTCTGTTTCTGTCTCTGTCTCTGTCTCTCCCCTTTTCTGTCTCTCGCTCTGTGTGTGTGTATACATACATGCATACATATATGTATCTGTGTATCTATATACACAGTATTTATATACATAATTATATATATGATATCTACCCATCCATTCACCCCACTTATCTGTGTATCTATCCTATCTATCTATCTATCTATCTATCTATCTATCTATCTATCTATCTAATCTATCTACCTACCTGTCTATCATCTACTATCATCTAGCTATCCATCTTTGTTTTATCTATCCACTTTTAATTAAGCAGAAAAGAAAACTTCAAAGAATATTAAAATGACATCATCTTTATGTCTCTTAGTATAACGTTAATATAAATAATAAAAAGGAAACACAAGGAAAGAAAGAATGGGTAGGTCTCACTAAATAAAATAAAGGGCTCATTTTGCTATCATTTGCAACACTACAATGATTAACCAGGTCCCTGAATATTTTGGCAGGTTCATTTGGATTTCCTTAGGAAAAATTTCCAGAAGTGGAATTGCTTACTCAAGGATTATTAAGTTTTAAAAACTTTCAATACACACTGTCAAATTGTTCCCTTAGCACTTACACCAATTCAGATCTCCCCAGTATCATTTATTTATTTATTTTTAAAAAGATAACTAAAAGGCAAGAGACATACTGGAAATAATTTTAGCTACATATGTATTCAACAAAGGGTTAAGTGCTCCTTTACATAAAGCAGTCATAGAATAAGCAAAATTCTAAAACCCCAAAGGAAAATAAAATGGAACTGAGACATAAACTAATAAGTGAAAGGGAATGAAAATTTCGCTAATGAATATTTAAAACTGTATATATTCACACACATTAGTTACCAGAGAAACACAAGCCATAATTGCAATAACATATTTTACTCTCAAATTTGTGATTAAAACCTACTTACCATTCTTGCGAGAGTGTGATGAAATGGACATTCATAGAATACTGATGGGAATCTGAATTGGTATAAGCTCTATGGCAGCATTTTGACACTGCATAGCAAAACTCTTAAAAGCATTCATTTTTCTTAACTGGCTGATTCTACTTTTAGGTTTTTTTCTGAAGAAATAAATATGCAGAAATATTTTGCCATCAGCTAATTCATTGTTGAAAGTAATAGCAGAGTTGGTATGACCTTTATGGAAAACAGTACGGAGGTTCCTCAGAAAATTAAAAATAGAGGCCGGGAGTAGTGGCTCATGCCTGTAATCCCAGCACTTTGGGAGGCCAAGGTGGACGGATCACCTGAGGTCGGGAGTTCAAGACCAGCCTGACCAACATGGTGAAACCCCATCTCTACTAAAAATACAAAATTAGCTGGGCATGGTGGCGCATGCCTGTAGTCCTAGCTACTCAGGAGGCTGAGGCAGGAGAACCGCTTGAACCCAGGAGGCAGAGGTTGCAGTGAGCTGAGATCATGCCATTGCACTTCAGCCTGGGCCACAAGAGCAAAACTCAGTCCCCCCTATCCCCCAGAAAAAATAGAACTACCATATGATCCAGAAATCTCACTACGGGTTATACATCCAAAGGAAATGAAATTGGCATGTCAAGGAGATAGCCACACTCACATGTTCATGGCAGCGTTAGTCGCAACAGCCAAGTTATGGAAGCAACATGTGTCCATCAACAGAACAACATATAGATGAAGAAAATGTGGTAGATGTACACTGTGGAATAACATTCAGCTTTATTTTAAAAATCCTGTTATTTGTGGCAATGTGCATGAAACTGGAGGACATTACGCTAAGTGAAATAAGCCAGCCACAGAAAGACAAATATTGCATGATCTCTCATTTATATGTGGAATCTAAAAACATTTAACTCATAGAAACAGAAAGTAGAATGATGGTTTTCAGGGGCTGGTGGAGGGAGCATGGTTGTTGGGGAGATGTTTGCCAAAGGACACAAAATTTCAATTAGAGAAGAGGACTAAATTCAGAAGACCAGCTCTGCAACAGAGTGACTAGAGTTAATGATGTACTGTTTCTTAAAGAAGAAAAAAAATGGCCAAAATATTAGAATCTGAATATTCAACAAAAAAGACTGGTTAAATACGTTAGAATATTACAGCCTGAGAAAATGATGCCATCTATAAAATCCAAGATGTGGAAATGATAAGAAAAAAAGACGGTATGCAAAAATATGCATACAGACTGATCTCCATTTAAAACACAGTCACTCCCAGCTTATGCAATAGTTTTTATTTTGGAAAGTCTTGTGCAATTCAAATTTTGCATAAGTAAAGAAGATCCTTTGTAGTCACTGCATATTTTAAAGTTGCAAAACTTTTGATGTGCCTTTTGTGTGCATGTAATTTGAACTGTCATTCAAATGTTTTCCTTTTTGTTGTTGAAGTAGCCAGGGTTCACATGAAAGGGAGCGAAGAGTTTTTTGAATATCCCCCATAGTGCCTCACTTTGTGTGGGTTGTTTAATCAGTGCTTGGTAAACACTTGTTGGATTTATTTGTAGGAGGCTGTGATGGTTTTACTGATGCTTACCAAATATTTCTGACTCTTCATCTTTCCCAAATGTAATAGACAATCTGTGATCTCCTTGTACTTAGTTAGGGTCATGTGATTAAATCTAGCCAATGAGTTGTGAACTTCTTGATGGGTATTTAATGCCAGTGTGAGATCCACCAGAGATCTTTTTTCCTCTGCTCTTGTGAATGGCAGTATTCCATATGATAGTTCCTCCATTATTCTTATTCTTAAAGTGAGGATGGCATGGAGCAGAGCCCTCAGCCAGCCTGTGATGAACATGTAGCATGCATTAAAAAATGGGCCCTTGTTATTTCAACCCATCAAGATTTGGGGGATGTTTGTTACTGCCACAAATCCTAGCCCCTTGACACTCAAAGAGGGACCTGCAGATTGACTGCATCAGCCTCGTCTGGGGGTTTATTAGAAATTCAAAATCTTGGACCCCCTCTTTCAGACCTACTGAATCAGGGGCTGCAATTTTTTTTTTTTTTTTTTTTTTTTTTTTTTCTGAGACAGAATCTCACTCTGTCACCCAGGCTGGAGTGCAGTGGTGAGATCTCAGCTCACTGCAGCCTCCGCCTCTTGGATTCAAGCAATTCTCATGCCTCAGCCTCCTGAGTAGCTGGAACTACAGGGGTGCACCACCACGCCCAGCCAATTTTTGCATTTTTAGTAGAGACATGGTTTCACTACATTGGCCAGTCTTGTCTTGAACTCCTGACCTCAAGCGATCCACCCACCTCAGTCTCCCAAAGTGCTGGGATTACAGGCATGAGCCACTGCGCCCAGACCTAGGAGTTGCATTTTAATAAGGGACCTCAGGTGATCTGTGCACACAACAAGAATTCCAGAGTTCTGCTCTAGCTTATCTAGATTGATACGCAGGCGAAGGGAGGCAGAATCCGTGGAAGTTGAGAAAGTGTACACGGGAGCTTCATTCCAGAAGGTAAGTCACTTAGCTTCTCTGAGTCTCAGTTTTCTGAGAGATTAACATGAGAATCCAATAAAAATAACGTGCACTTCATAATGCATATTTTAAAATAAAATATATTATGTATATTTATCTGTTATATATATTTATCCATAATGCACATTCAATAATGCACATCAAGGGCCCTAGTAAATGCTCAATAAATGATGGTGGGCATTATCATTTCAGAAAGAGGATAGATTGCCGTATGCCGGAACTGGAGTCTTGGCTTTCGAAAGATCTTTTCCATTACCTCTGCAGCAAGAATGACATCTTCTAAAGACTCAGGATGGCCTCTAATGTAAGGATTCAGTAAATATTGATCAATTAACCCACCCACGATGAGGTTCCTGTCAACCACTTAATCACTTTCAAATGGCGTGTTTATTTACTCAATTCTTCTTCTGCCCTGTTTCTGCAGCTTCATGGTCTAATTCGCTGATCCTCCAACCAGGAGGCCTCCCCAGGCCTGACAGAAGTGTTTGTAAAGGTAAGAACAGCTTTTAGCTTTGCATGCTTTTGTGGGATCAATGTTCTATCCCTCTTATGCCTACAGAGGGCCACTTTCTCTAAGAACTATGGAGAAATTGTTCAGCAGCAGTTAATACACACACACACACACACTCTCTCTCTCTCTCTCTCTTTCTATTTCTATCCAAGGCAGAGAAAAGTGAATACCCCAGGGAAAGGACCTGGGTAAACATAATGATGATTGGACTGTTCCCCATTTGCTTTTGCTGGAGAGAACCATCTATAGTCTGTTTGTTCATTCCACCCTAAATCTTCCTGTGAGGAAGAAAATGCAGGGATTATTTATCTTTTTGTATTATGGAGAAACTGAAGTTAAGTGGCTCCCTAAGGCCATAGAGGACAGTGCCTACCAGGGCAGTGTTTGGAGTCAGGCAGGCCTGGGGATGAAGCAAAGGACCACCGAGGACGAACCTGCGGCATCCTGAGTGCAGAATTTAACCCTGTAAGCCTCAGTTTCCACAGGCAGCTCCTCCCAGCTGGGAGAGCCCCGCCCCAGGCACTCCGTGATGTCAATTTTGAGTTGACTTTAAAATTAGGGAGTTGGATGCAATTATCTTATACAGAACTTTCCCAGGCATGGAGCGTTAACTCATCTAATCTTCCTAATGAGAGGAAGAAATTGAGACAGAATCAGAGAGAAGAAATATAGGGGGGGAGAGAGAGAGAGAAGGGGAGAGAGAGAGAGAGAGAGAGAGAGAAAGAGAAAGAGAGAGGGAGAGAAAGAGAGAGAGGGAGAGCTGCTGATGGGAAACAGCATTTCATCCTTTATAAATAACAACCACATAAACCCAAACTACACTCAAAAAACTGAAGCCCACTATGAGACGGAAATGATGCTGAATCTCTGACCTGGGGACCAGCAGTCCCAGTTTGCCAGGGACTAAGGAATCCCTAGGACATGGGACTTTCAGTGCTAAAACGAGAAAAGTCCCAGGAAATCCAAGGTGAGTTGGTCACCCTCATCTTTGATTAGGCCACAGAGATCACAAACTGGCCCAGAAAAGGTGGCATTTCAGGGCATGCTGGGGCACATGTAAAAGAGAGATGTGGCCAGAAGTTTCAAGAGAGGAATTGAAAATCTCCCTGGGCACCCACCACCCTCCTTCCTCATGCATGGCCTTGTCTGAGCTGAGGTTTGCAAGGGTGGGGTTGCTGGGCCAGGGGTTGGATCAATTTTTGGTAGGAGAGGGAGGTGGAGAAAGAATGGGGGAGGAATTGAAGCAGAGAAACTCTTTAGAAGACAGACACCAACTAGTAAAACTTAAAGAATAAATTCAAAATCAGAAATCATGAATGTATCACAAGACATTTTTTAAAAAGATGGGGCTCATGTAATTATAGAGGAGACGAAGGCTTGCTTTTCCCTGGCATTCCCTTCTGGCAGGGAAAGAAACCAACAGGGCAACTTCATCACGCTGATTCCTTCACGCTCTGGCAGGCAAGTGATAAAATTATCAGATGAGGGTCCCCAGTCTCGTCTCCTACAGCCACTTTTGCCAAGTGTGCCATGTCTAAAATAATGAAGGTGGCTTGATTAAATGTTCGCTGGCTGCAACCGCTGTGCTAATTTGGAGATGGGCTTATTAGTTTAATGACCGCTCCAAATCATCAGAATTCATTAGCATTAGTGCCACGGCTTCATCCAACTTCAGCCCAAGGCTCCAGGCTGCCACCGTCGCCATTTCTCTATTTATATCACCCCTACTTCTCAGGGAGGACTGTGTGTGTGTGTGTGTGTGCGTGCATGTGTGTGTGTGAGACAGCAGGCACGCATACATGTGTATATGTGTGTGTACACGTGCAGGCACCACAACTAGGACTTCCTATGCACTTTACCCGCGTAATGATTTTAGCTTTTCTTCCCTGAAAGAAAAGTTGTTGTAGCCTTTTTCTGTTTTTAACGCCTCCATACATGTGCAAAGAGGGGCTCTGAAAGGGCTTTGGTGAGATATTCGGTTTTAATTAGACTAAGGAGGGTAAAACCCAAATTGCTTACAATGACCCACAGGCTCTACGTGGCCACCCACCCTCCACCTACTGGGGGGTATCTGATTTCATCTCCTGCGCGGTTCTTTTCCTCACTCTCCTCCAGATGCACAGACTTCCCATCATGCTCCTCAAGCATACCAGGCATGATTGCCACCTCAGGGCCTTTGCACTCACTGCCCCCTCTGCCTGAAATGCCTTCCCAAGATAGCATCATGGAATACTCCCTTACTCCCAATTGTTGTTCAAATGTCGCCTTGGGGAGGCCTATTCTGGCCATCTTATTTAAAAACATAACCTCCCTAATACCTCCCCCTCCACCTCACTCTGCCTTATTTATTCCTATCAAATACACCACATAATTTACATATGTATCATATTTAATGCCTGACCCCCTTACCCACACTGTGTCACGGTTGCCTGTTTTGTCTACTGTTATATTCCCAGTGCTTAGAACTACCAGAGAGTTGGTGCTCAATACATAGTTGTTGAATGAATAAATGAATGATCGTATAAATGCAAGAGTGGTGTCAATATACAAGGAAATAAGGGCCACCATGGACTCAGGGGAAGTCATTTATTGGTTGCCTTTCAGCTGAGCTGTCACCGGTGGTGTTACTTGGCACAGATGAAGGTGAATAGGCCAATGTAATTCCCTGTCTTTCTGTAAGTTAGCTGGGAGGACATTGAGTGGAGGTGACAGGGAAGTTCGGGAGCTAAAATGTTGTGCAGAGACATCGTGTGGGGCAAAGCTAAGGCCGGAGGAACCATGGTAACTTGAAGCTGCAAGGAAGAAGATGCTGTAAGGGACAAGGAAGATACATAGGTGAGGAAATGAGGAAGACACTCAAACATGAAAAGTGAATAGAACTGGGTTACATTAAGAGAGGAAAGGTCTCTAAATGACTGGCCCTGGGTATTTTTATTGACTCCAGCGACACTGTAGCTAGTATCACCTTCCAAGAGGTTTTCCTCTACCTTTCTTTTGTTTGGGGTGTTCCATGAGATTTTCCCTTTCATATCTCTCTTTCCATCCACCACCCTCTTGGGGTTATAAAGTAGGTTGTTAGACAACAAAAATATCCTTGCTAAAATATAGGGGTTGAAAATTCTAACTTGTATTTGACTTGATTCTTCTTCTTCTCATCTGTAAAATGGGCCAGCTGTAGGTCAAATACTAGTGGTCTCCAGAAACATAGCTTAACCCTTCAAGGAGTAAACAGGTCTACAGATCTCTGCCCCTGTGGGTTCATACAGAGAGAAGGCGCATAATGAGAGACGGGGTATAATGAGAGACGGGATATAATGCAGAAAGATGTTTTTGAATGCAATTACTTTGTCTTTAAAATAAACTTTTAATTATGACAAAAGTGATAAGTACTCAATGTAGAAAACATGAGAAATGCAGAGATAATAAATAATATTTTGTTCCTTGGAATATTTTGCTCCTTCTTTCCTTCCCTCCATCCTTCCCTCCCTCCCTCCCTCCTTCCTTCCTTCCTTCCTTCATTTCCTCCTTCCCTCCCTTCCTTCATTTCCTCCCTCCCTCCCCCGCTTCCTTCCCTCCTTCCTTCCTTCCTTTTCTTTCTTTCTTTTCTTTCTTTATTCTTGACAGAGTCTCACTCTGTCGCCCAGGTTAGAGTGAAATGGCGCAATCTTAGCTCACTGCAACCTCTGCCTCCCGGGTTCAAGCAATTCTCCTGCCTCAGCCTCCCGAGTAGCTGGGATTTCAGGTACCCACCAACAAGCCCAGCAAATTTATATATTATTGGTAAAGACATGGTTTCGCCATGTTGGCCAGGCTGGTCTCGAACTGACCTCAAGTGATCCAACCACCTCAGCCTCCCAAAGTGCTGAGATTATAGGCCTGAGCCACCATGCCTGGCCTTTGGTCCTTATTTCTGCAAAGATTATCTGCTGTGAGTGTTCCTTGATTCTAAGGTACACACGTGCTCTCCTGATTTCTGAGATCCCGACACATCTTAAAATAAAGGATAGATACATGTATTTAATATTTCACACCATTCATCTCATACCCCTCTAAATAAAAGAGGACATCAAATCAATATTTAATCTTATAATGACAATCATCTTAGATGAAAATATAACATTCTCTGTCTTTCTCTCTTTCGCTCTCTCTTAGAAAAATGGTATCATACTCTTTGCTGGTCTGCTTTTTTCTCACTTCATTTTAACCACACCAATATCTAGAGCTTTGTCAAACAACTTGGCTCCTAGAAAATGTGGTAGGGAGTTTTCAAATGAGTGTGAGTTTTGCCCTTCCCTTTAACTCTCTAAATTGGTTTCTTAGGAATTAATTCGATAGTTCTTTTTCTAGATAATGTTTTTAAAAATATCTTCACATAAAAAACACATTCCACTATTTTTTTTTTTTTTTTTTTTTTTTTTTTTTTTTTTTTTTTTTTGAGATGGAATCTTGCTCTGTCACTAGGCTGGAGTGCAGTGGCTCAATCTCGGCTCACTGCAACCTCTGCCTCCCGGGTTCAAGTGATTCTCCTGCCTCAGCCTTGCGAATAGCTGGGACTATAGTCGTGTGCCACCACACCCGGCTAATTTTTGTATTTTTGGTAGGGACGGGGTTTCACCATGTTGACCAGGATGGTCTCGATCTCCTGACCTCGGTATCTGCCAGCCTTGACTTCCCAAAGTGCTGGGATTACAGGCGTGAGCCACAGAACCCAGCCGATCCAATCTTAAACTTACAACTTACGAGTTTTGTGACCTTACACAAGAGTCTTAATCTTTCTGGACTTTACTTTTTTGATCTGCATAATAGGACCCCTCTCTGTGGGGTATCTAAAGGATTATAGGAGGTAGTGGATGTCAACGGCACTTATGAAAACACAGAGCAAGTATTCCATAAGTGGTAGCAATATTAAAAAGTTAAAAATCTGAAAAAAATCAATATAAACACTAAGAGAAAAATAACAATGATCTGCAATTTTGTTACTT